GCTTCATGGTCATCAGAAAGTCCATCACTGAGATCAGTGTTCAATGCATCTGCAACTCCCCGGACTCCTCCATAATTATGAAGTTCATCCAAGTTCTTTCTCTTTACCATCTCGGCGATGTTTCTCATCTGGATGCACTGGAGCTCAATAGTACTGGTGCGTTCATTCTGGGGCTTAGACTCGACAATTAAGGAATCCTCATGCAACTCTAGCGAAACACGTGCAGCTTCCACGATTTCGGAACCCTGATTACATTTACAGAAGAATTGATTATGATTAATTATCGCAGTCTTGATTGTACGTATATGATTTACTGAACTCTAAAATTAAGTTGGAAAGAGATGAGATAAGTTACTACTACGTACCGCATTATCTTCACCATCAGCAGTGCCAACAGAAGTATAAGCAGGCGACAATATTGATGCGCTCGAATCAGATGAAGAGCAGTAGGTGGAATAGTTTTCTCCCGATAGCTTGAAAAGGTTGGCTGAGCGTATCAACAAAATTACCCTCTTCAAAGCCCGTCTTGAAGTACTTTCAGGTTCATGTGTTGGCAGCAACAGTGATTGCTGGGCTTCAACGTCGAAAGGATAGCTTTCTTCTAAATCTGAAATGTTTTCCCTGTAAAATGAAGATGATGCTTAAGCTGAAACAAGTTTATAGTGAGACGGCATGGAAAGTAGTTACTGAAACAATATCATCAGTATTACATTTTCTTCTCTTCTGCTTCCCAGTACTCAAGCAGCAATACTAATGAAGCTGGTTTACGGATTACAAATCGATATTGAAGGCCTGCAGCTAGGATTAAACCCAATTGGATGGTGAAAATCTATTTGATGATTGAAATGGCTAAACGGATCAACTGGATTAATTGGGGGAGGGAAACCGATAGAACTGATAGAACTTGTTGAAGTGGGATAGAGATGGCTGAACTGAGAGCCTGGCTTTATAGGGTATATTAGAGAAGTAACTCGTTTGAAGTGAGATGGAGAAGGCTAACAGGATATTTATAGCTGGGTACAGGAGTGAATTTCACCTACCCACCCAGTGATTAGCTTCCAAGAAACTGCAGTGAAGCTTCCTGGTCTAACTGAGCTAGTATTTTAAAAGTTGAAAAAGAAGACATTAGTCCATTTATTTATTAGTTTGATCGATCGGCTTGGAGAGTGATTGTTTTCTGCTTGGCTAATTCATCTCATCTGAATTTATGTTAATTGACATAAATAAAACCTAACTATTATTATTATTATTATTATTATTATTATACGGGTACCTTCAGTTTTTCCTCTCACAATTTTATTTATTCGTCACTCTCTTATTTTTAACTACACAATATTCCATAAATAATATTACACGTAAATCAAAAAAATTTACTTCATTTTCAACCACACATTCTCCAAAAAAATATTATTCCAAAAATTATAATTAAAAATAATGTGGGGGCGGAAAGGGGACTAAACACTATAAAATTTATTAAAAGCATTGTTTGAAAGATTTTTTAAGAATAATTTTTGTTAAAAATGATACATCAAAAAAAAGAAAAAAAATTTGTTCATCGACTGTATAAGACATATTTTAACCCCAAGATTCTATTCTTACGTTCACAAATTGTTAACTTTCTTTTCTGTTTGCCAGGTTTTTCCACGAGAGCGTGTCCGCGGTTTGTCCGCGGTTCGTGGGCATTTTTTTTTTTAAAATATTTCAATTTCAATTAATAAGATTTCACCAACCACAAATGGAATAGCTTAAAAAATTGATAAAAACTTGCTTTTTCTTGTTTAAATAATTTAGTTTATTGTGAATTGGAGAAGTTTATGAAACGAAAATCATTTGAGTAATATGATCGAACGTCACGTTTCAATAAATTCATAAATATTATTCACTTATACACTATTCATTTATAATTAAATTCTTTCCAAAGTGCAATTAACGTAATCTTTAAGACCTTTCTATTTACGTCTTTGTTCATTGGTGCCCTTCTAATCGGTATTGTTGTGAATAGCATTTTGTATACTTATATACACCCGTGTGTGAATGCAAAGCTATTTTGACGTTTTACTAGTTTCGATTTTGTAAATGTCGAAATATTTCGATTCTAGAATTAATTGACTAATTTGATGCGGAGTCAACTCGTGAATTGACTAATATGTCAATTCAATAGGTGGCCGTCAATGTGATGCTTAAATTTTATGATGGGATACTTTTGATTAATTAGAAAATTATAAATAAAAGTATAGAGAAAAGTGATGATTTTGTCATTGATTGGAAGTTCCATCTTCGCGTTAAGGGGGAAAAAATGTTCATATTTGGTGCCATAAAAAATAAAAATCTCATTTCATTTAAATATATGAAGATGGGATGTTGACTACGATAGAACACGATGTTAGTATTCACTAAGCGGCGTCAGTACAAAAAATAAGTATCGTTTGGATTGTTTTGACATATTGAATGACAGAGTGGAGATTTATCTTAGATCGATTTGTTTTACAATTTTTCATGTTTCATCTACGTCAATATATAAGATAACAATCTTACTGTAATAACGGAGGAGATATAAAGCGAAAAAATGGCGTGCGCGTTTTTAAAATTAGGAAAGTATGGACGAATCAACAAGCAAAATATTATCAAATAGCATTCGAAAATGGTTCATTACATTGAATTTAACTCTATATATTCAGCATTATGCAATGTTTTTGTTTCAAAATAATTGTGAAGAAGCAAGAAATTGCCAAGTCTCTTCGTGAACACGTTTTGACGAAGACTAAGGCGTGAACATAGTTTGAAATATGAATGGCGAGAGAAGAACAATCATCGGTTCTGAAATTAATTATTTTTGGTATTAAGTTCTTGTTTGGTTTGGTTAAAATTAAATTCTTATATTTTGTCAAAACTTTATGAAATGTATGGTTAAAATTTGATTAAAATTATGATTTTCACAAAATGTGTTATTGAAAACGAGTTTTGAAAAATGGAACCAAACAGGGGTTAATGAGCATATAACGCAAGGCTGTAGGATGAATGACTGCATAACGTAACTACAAAAAGTCACAAAACTCGTCATTACCTACATTTTGACCATTAAATGATGTATTTGCCCTTCTAATCGATATTTGATTGTTGAGGATGACAATTTTCTTTTCTTTTTTTTTTT